CCAAAGTTCCCGGACATGTCCAGGAAAAATCGGACGTATGGTAACCCTAAAATTACCTCTTTACTTGCTGCACAAGTGCAACTTTAGTCCCCCCCCCTTTTTTTTTTTAACTAGGCCTCCTATGCCTTAGCAGAATATAACTCCTGAAAGTTTTTGGATTCCAGTTTATCCAAAGGGATTGTGCAGTTTTAGGGATTTGGGGTTCATAAAACACTTTGATTATTAGCTACATTGCAGAAGCACTGAACGGCCTCCCATTGTGCTAGGTAGTGCACAAACACACAGTACAGGACCAGGGCCAGCTCTAGGTTTTTTGCCGCCCCAAGCAAAAAAAATTTTGGCTGCCCCCCCACCCCAGCCCTGGGCTCTCTTCCCCCCCTACGCGCACCCCCTGCCGCCCCAGCCCTGGGCTCCACCCCGACCAGTAATGACTCTGCCCGCTCCCCCCCACCTCCAGCCGGTCCAGCGCTGGCACGGTCAGGGTAAGCAGCGGGGCTCCCCGGCTGTGCCTCAGCCCAGGGTCCCTCCATCCAGGGCTCCTGCCTCCAGGACCGGCCGGGACCCGGGAGGGCAGAGCCGGGGGACCGCCCTGACAGGGAATGGAGGAGCCGGGGCAGGGTAGCCCCAGAGGCAGCGGAGCCCCGGAGAGCGGGATGCGGGCCCCGCACGGCAGCGCCCCGCCCTCTATGGCCCCACTGCTGCTGCTGCTTCTGGCTGCCCTGCCACAGTCCCTGGGCGGCTCGGGCCGCTTCGCCCAGCCCCGGCTGCAGCACTGGGGGGCGGCTGCCCTGCGGCACCTGCAGGCAGCTCCGTGTGCCCCGTGAGGTGTCCCCCAGCCTGAGAGTCCCCCACTCGAAGCCTGCCCGGCCCAGCCACAAGGTGTGGGTGCTGCTCCCCCACGGCGTGAACTGCAGTGGCCCCAGGGCGCCCCCTGCACTGCTGCTGCCAGAGCCGGCTCTAGGCTTTTGCTGCCGGAAGCAAAAAAAAAATGGCCAGACTGCTGCCCTTGAAAATGTGCTGCCCCAAGCACCTGCTTGGTTTGCTGGTGCCTAGAGCCGGCCCTGTACAGGACAATCCCTGCCCCTAAGAGCTTAGACACAGACCCTCAAAGGTATTTAGGTTCTTAACTTCCAGTAATTTCAGTGGAAGTTAGGAGACAAAATACCTTTGAGGATCTGGGCCTGATACAAGATGTGACAGGAGGATGAGATAAACAAGTAGGTTGGGGGAATACCATCTAAAATAACAGGATGTGTAAATATAGATTAGCTAGGTGCATCAGGGAGCCAGTGCAGTAGGGTGAGAAATGCTGCATAAACAGTCTGACTAAGACTGGTTGGCTCTGTAAGCACATACATATCTATCTACCTATCTATCTATCTATATACACGCACACACACACTTATGTATATAAGCTGATGCTGCCCTGTGTGTCGGCTTTTATTTTCACATGGGCACCTGGAGGATTTAAAAATGGCCGATCCATGGACATGTTTTTTATGAAACTGGGTGGCAAGGTTTCTGATTTGCTGGAAAACTAACCCCCTTGATGCTCGATGAGAAGGCAGCCTTGCAACAAACAGATGTTTTTACCTGGCTTTCCGTAAGTGCCCAGACGAGGGAAGAGAGAGCAGCAGGTTTGCTTCAGTCTTTTGCTGCCCTAGTAGTTCTCTGTGATGAAAGCTGCCTGCCCTTAGACCAGGCCCTGGAGAAATGCACTGTTCAAGAGTGGGGGGAAGGAAAAAAACCCACAGATATTTTACAGGTACCACAGCAGCTTCTACAACATGACAGTCACGAATGCTCCTTTATTGCAGCACAAACAGAACAGTATTCACAGCAGCTACTACCCCTGCTTCGCCGCTCCCCTCCCCCCACTCCCTCTGTGGCCTCTTGGATACTAGATCATGGACTCATTAACATCCAAGGTAAACAGGTCCTCTGTAACAAGCAGTGCACTATTAACTAGGAGTAAGACGGCTCCTCAGTTTATATTTGATTCATGCA